CTTAAAATATAATAGATTTTGTAATCCCTGCGGAAAATTCCGCAACTTTTTTTAGTGATGCAGTCTAATGTACATACATATAAGGACTGCGCTACAAAAATTTATGATATGTTTTGAAGCAGTTTAGTTCAACAAAAGCATTTTTTATTTAGAATTAACCACCACTTCACATAAAGTGGTAAAGAAACAAGAGCTATATTTTTTTTTAATAGGAAGTTTTAGTTTTTCCGTAACCCCGCCAATTAGCGTTTTTCTTGTAATGTCTAACACCCCTCACAGCTGCTAAGCCCACTTTCCTTTAAACACTTTAAGGTCTTTGGTCACATATTTCGGGACCTTCATGTCGCTTTCAACGAGAGTCCATTTTCTCTCATTTGACTTTAATTTAGAACAGTTTGGTGGATTGACTTTTTTGGGACCAAATTTACATTATTCTTTAAAGCCATTCTAAGTCTGATGCGAAGTAATGACTGAAGCGAGGTCAAGCCACAACAAAGTGGATACTTCATGTATAGGAATGGAAGTTATCTCTGCTGCAAGCATTACTTCACATGTAACCACTATTGAATGTGCCCGATGTCACAAATGAGCTGTTTTTTTGTCAAAACTGCAGACGGGCTGCCAATCTAGGCTTTCCTTGGAAATGTTGTCACTGTTTTCTCAGGTTTTCAGCTGCGATTCCTAAAGAATCAGCTGTTGTATGAAACCCTTGTCCTGGAAATGAGAAAACCCTCTTATAAGAGTGTACAAAATGCGGAAATGGTTTAAAGTTTGCCTTAAAATTTATTTACCAATGGCCAAATTTTTGTTACCAGTACAGAATAGACCTTTAAGTGTATAAACAAGTTCCATGTGATCCATTTTATTTTTCCAGTGTAACTCAACTATTATACTATTTTATTTTTATTTTTAGATATTATATGCTGGGTTATAATAGAGAAGGGTAAAAATTATTTCCTTAACTGTGTTCAAATATTCGCTCTTCTATTCTGTGTTTATTCGCTTGTTAAATAACAATGCTGAGATGTTGAGATGTATTAAGTCAGAAAAAACTGCTGCTGGTCATTATGCGAAAGCGCTTAGCGATTAACTTTTGTCATTGATAACATATTTACATTTAAATGGCTTCAACCTGCTTGCATTTACCAAGCGTTCAAGCGTTTTCACAATTTTTTTCTGCGTATTTCTGCCATATAAAGTATGCCCGAATGTTTTTATGGAAGAAAATGCACAACACCGTCAGCAAAAGAAAATATATATATAAAGGGGCATTTTAAGCCCTTGCCCTTGCCCTTTATTCTGCTAACATTTTTTGGGCTAAAACACTTCTTACCAAACATTTTTTTTTTTAATTCTGATTAAAAAGTTTTAAATTTGGGTGAGACTTTGATGAGCTTTTCCAATTTTTGGGCAAAATTTGAAATTCGGGTGTATATGGCCTTTGTTATATAAAAATTAATGAACATTGAAAGAACTGGTCAAAATGTCGCACTCCTATTTTTTTGTCCATGAGTGTATGTATGTATATATGTCTGTTAAAATCTTCTACATAAAAATCCCGCGGCGACACAGAAAGAACATTAATGAACATTAAACGAACAAAAGATAAATAGACAAAACTGTTCAAAATGTTGAAGTGTTATCGTTTTGTTGCTTGCTGTACATACAAACAGTGACTCAGACAAATGACCTTGTGTTGTTTTTTTTTTAATGGTCGTAAAATTTTTAAGGCAAAATTTTTTTTTTGTTATTTTTATATAAAAATGTCGTCTAAGCTTTAACCAAAACCGTGTAAATCACAGTTTCAAACTTTATAAAAAATTTTGGAAAATTCAACAAATTTTCATCAAAATTTGAACTTTTTCTGATTTTTTTTAGAAAATATTTGGGTATGCAGTTTTCATAGCCCACACAATTTTAGTCTAATGAAGAGCAAGTTTTAAACGGCTAAAAAATCGCGTTAATTTTTGATAATTTTTTTTTTTGAGACTACTTTTTCGGGTTTCTAATATAACAAACGCAATTTACAAAAACTTGCGATGATATTTTGAAATTTTGTTGCCAACGGTCTCCTGCGTTTTATTTCATAAGAAATTCATACTTATACGCAAAAAAGGGCAAAAATCCGTCACCTAAACAAAGCTTCTCAGCGGTGAAAAATATACTATTGTGAACAACCTAAACGAGCGAAATTCACAATAGCGCTATTCTTCATCGAATGAGCGCCATAATACCAAATGAAAATTCGTTCGCTCAGCACTTTCGACCACAGTCGAAAATCGAATGCAACTCATAATAGGTATCCATATGTAAAAAGGGGCATGTACACATGCAAATACATATCGTGTAAGAACACCTTAAGGGAGCCGATTTTGTCAAGAGGGAGGGAGAAGACCGTTTATTATTGAATCATGAATAATCAATGAAAATTCCAAACTACCCCAATTTCGAAGCCCAATATTTATTGACAGAACCCTATGCAGTTTACTGGTTAGCGGCAAGTTACATAGACACGATTTTATTCAAAACGAAAGCAAACACGAGATAAGGTAACTTGCACCATTACTCAATAATGGGCCGTATGAATAAAAACTGAGCAATTGCTTTTTCTTAAAATTTCATACCTGTTACTTCACTTTTGTTTGAATAAATCGAGTAAAAGGTCTGAAATTTTAAGAAAAACCAATTGATTATTTTTATTCATACGGCCCAATAAAAGGATTGCTCAAAAAACAGTTTTCTCGCTCCCTCTTGACAAAATCGGTCCCCTTAGCAAGGCACCATGATCCAATAATTAAAGGTTTTGTAAGAAAAACTTTCTCTCGCTCTAATTTTATCAAGGACACTCCCACCCTACTCCCAAAAACAGTGATATTTCTTTTACAAATTCTTTGGAAGTTTTAAGAATATTTTCAAATTTTTAGTAGTGAAATTTGTACTTTATAAATTTGAACAAATGTTTGTTCTGCATTCATTGGCGACAACAACCAGACAAAATTGGTGAGAATCGTTGGCCTACAGAAATTCAACGTAGGCTAATGAGACGAAATTCCCCTAAATGCCGAATAGTTGTTTTTGTCGACATTCTGGAGGCCTATGTATTTATTCTGTCAACGAAGGTATTTAGGTAATGACCTACAAAACACAATCCTGGTGTCTCCGAATGAGACTGTAACACTTACGCCACTTCTCATTTGACGACGTAGATCACGTCTCAATCATTCAGTAGCTGCGTGTTCTTTTTATTCTTCCCGAGTTCGTCCGGCACGAATCGCCAATCGCGACTGTGTACAATAAGAACAATAAAAGTGCAACATCAAAGAATTCGAATTACCATATTCGAAGCAATCGAGCAATAACCGCGAAAGAAACGTAAGATTCAAATGTTTTTGTTTTTTTTTTTTTGAAATCAAAATTCCATAATTTTTCCACAAACAAATAGCTTTTTTTATCCAACAACTGACAAACAAATACAAAAAAAAAAAATGGCTCAAAGTGGACCATCCATTCTTGACTTATGCGCCGTCGGACTTACGCAACTTTGGTATATATATATATAAATATTTATTTTTAATAACAATCAGGCGTTATATTCGATGTAAATATGCTGGTTTAAATGAAATGATTAAATCAAATTGGCGTTTGTTTTAAAATACTACCATGCACTATTTTATCCATACCTGTATGTGGAATTTAGCTACCATTTTAGGAAGTGTGATTGAATTCTATGAGCAAACCTTTAATTATTGATTATGAACTTGCACAGCAGCCGGTTTCACGTAACGGTAATTTCAAAAAAACTCAAAGCTAGCTATACTTTATTAATTATGAATTATGTATTTTGACGAAGTTGGAACAGCAATTTCTACAAAAATGCATTAGCCGCGTAGCGCTGGAGTCAAACATATTATGGGCTACTGGGGGACTAAGAAATANATCTCAAAGCTAACTATACTTTATTAATTATGAATTATGTATTTTGACGAAGTTGGAACAGCAATTTCTACAAAAATGCATTAGCCGCGTAGCGCTGGAGTCAAACATATTATGGGCTACTGGGGGACTAAGAAATAGACTCGATAATAGCATTGTAGTCGAAATATATGTATTTGACACATTTTGATTTACTACAAATATCGCCAGAAAACATATTTTACGGAAAAAGAGTTGAAATGGACGTCGGTTAGCGGGTGGTAAATGATAGGCTGACTTCCAAAACGTATCAATACAATGTTTGGAAACTGTTATACTGCGGTATTCAAACTGTTTGTATATGCATATGTAGTTGCGACACATTAGCACTGATCCAATACTTTTCGTGCAAAATCCTGTAAAAATGTCAAACAGCAAAATTACTCTCTGAAGTGAGAGTAAAAAGTGNCATTCAAACTGTTTGTATATGCATAGTTGCGACACACTTGCACTGATCCAATACTTTTCGTGCAAAATCCTGTAAAAATGTCAAACAGCAAAATTACTCTCTGAAGTGAGAGTAAAAAGTGAGTAACAACAAAAAGTACGGGAACAAAAAAAGCATTTTTCCTGTAAAAACGTCAACCAGTGTTCACTTGACACTTTTCACGATTTTACCAGGAGAAAAAGTTCGGGTAAACTCTCCAAAAATCGCTCTCATTTACAGGATTTTGGAGTACGGGATCATTTTTCCTGTAACTTCCTGTAAGTTCGTGTAAAAACCTGTAAGTTCATGGAGTACTGGATCAGAGCTATTAGCATCAACTTTGTTTCTGATGCGCTGATTGCTCGAGCGATGCGTTTCGATAACTTTTCGGCTGCGTTTTGGAACGGTTTACATTGTCAATATTTTGTAGTTCGGCGTTATGGAACCTTATACTTTGTACGTATGCAAAGCAATTGACGTTTTGGAAGTCAGCCATACATTTAAACAAAATGGACGTGTAGAGTTATATTTATTTGTAGGGCTTCACGAAGCCAGCGGGTATTCGCTAGTTTTATTTATAAACCCAAAATGATCCACTTACCTGATGACGCTCAATAAGCGCTTCAGCCCCAGTGACATCATTTGCCAGTTCATCGGACGTGACTAGGCTCATCATCGAGTTGATCCAAGCAAGTAGGTCCCTATAGTCGCTGAGGAATCGCTGCAAATCGTATGAGTCCAAAAGTTTTTCTTTACGTGCAGTTGCTTTCGTAATAATTTGATCCCACATCTCATTGATCTCCTTTTGTTTGGCGTAAGTTTGCTCAGCGGTGTCAGGATGTGATTGCATTAAGCGATTGGCAGTTTCATCCAATTGCCGTATTTTGTCCCGCAATGCAGCCAGGTCGCGTTCAACACCCTCGTGTTTGCGCTGCAAAGTTTGAACGCTGCGCAAATCCTTGCCCAAGTCATTATTGTTTAGAGCATTCTCCTTTTCAGCGATCCAGTCCTTCGTTTCGTCGATGTCTCGATGGAAGCGCTGCACTTCGTGCGCAGATCCAAGTTGGCTCGCCTTTTCGGCGGTCAGCTGCTGCAGGTTGTTCCATTTGTCATTCAAGTCTTGCATTTGGGATTGGATCTTCAAGGCAGCCTCTGTTTGGCCTAGAGAAGTCAGTTGAACGGCGATTTCATTCATGTTTGCTAAGCGCACTTCGTTGGCCTTCAAGTCGTCGTTGAAATCATCGAACTTCTTTTGTAATACTTCAACTTCTTCAAGGTCTTCACCCACAACATCAGCGATTTGGGCGTGATTTTCTTTGTCCTTAATCCAGTGGGCCAAATCGGCTGCTTCTCGAACGAGGACGTATGCCTTTACCGTCTCGTTCAATTTGTTTTGACGTTCGCGTGCCAGCGCTAGCAAATTATCGTATTGGGAATTGATTTGATTCTGGCGTTTAGCAATAGAGTGATTATCCACAAGATTCTGCTGACTAGCACTTAGACCAGCTTCAATCTTTTTGATGTAGGCAGCTGGCACAAATCCTTGGCGATCGTTCACCTCAACCTTCCACCAGTCTTTGTTATTCGAGTTGAGAAGCGTCAGCACATCACCCTTCTTCATTGAAACCTCACGTGGTGATTTTTCAGTATAGTCGTAAAGGGCCACAACACATTCCTTGCCAGTTATGTCGACGACAGGCGTTTCTTGTTGCCGACAGTTTCTAGCTTGTTCTTGCAATGCCTGTATGGTATTACCGAAGGCTTCCAAATCAGAAACTAGTGCTTCGTGCTTTTTCAGTAATGCCTCGGCAGAGTCTTCGTCCTTGCCGTAATCGTTGCTGGTAGCTATTGGTTCCTTCTCACGCATCCACGACTCGGCCTCGTTGGCGTCAGCAAAATACTGATGTGCTTGGAGAGAGTCTTCAAGATCTTGTTTGCGTTGATTTGACTTGTCCTTTAGTGTATTCCACTGTTCCTGCAATGCATCCAAGCGCTGGCGAATATCATCGCTAGCAAATGGCTGCTCCTTCAGCATATTCTCACCTGAACTGATGACATTAAGTAAGCGGGGCTCGTGATTGTTGATCTCAGCCAAAACAGCCTGATGTTTTTTAATAAGGTTTTGCACGCCAATTAAGTCCCTACCGCGATTGGTCGAAGCAGCGATGGGCTCTTTCTCGCGTATCCAAGCCGCCTCGTCTTCTAAGTCGCGGAATAGTTGCTGTACCTGTAGTGAATCCAATAAATGCTGCTTCCGCTCGGCCATCGGGGCAGCTAGTGCAGCGTAACGCTCAGACAAATTGGCTTCCTTGTGCCGAATGTTGTCTGCATCAAAGTGACCAGACTCGATGAATTTATTCGCAGCCACTTTGATGCTCTCGATGCGGTCCTGATGGGCCATGACGTCCGCCTCGAGCAGTGCATGCTTTTTCTGTAAATTTTGCACCGATGTCAAATCCTTGCCATGGTCTTCGGACAACAGCTGGCCCTCGATTTCGCTTAGCCACAGCTCTATGTCTTCAATGGTGCGATTGAATTGTTGCTGTTGACAAGCCTCGTGTAGTTTGCAGCCCTTTTTATCGGAAGCCTGCACCAATGTCTCCCATAATACAACAATCTCCTGCATGCGTGTGTTAATCTGGTCAGATGCGTAATGTTTCTTTTCGATCAGCTCAGTACCTACTGTTGTGATGTCCTCAATACGGGATTTGTTAGCGTTGAGTTCATGTTCGAAGTTTTGATGTTTCTGCATTTTGCCATTCAAATTGGTTGGGTCCAAATAGCTGTCATCGGTAGCAAATTTCAGTTTCTCACTGATCCAACCTTTGGTCTCGTCGCAGTCGCGTTCAAACTGCTGATAACGATTGGAATCTTCCAACAGCTGTCGCCGCCGTGCGGACTTTTCTTGCAACGCCGACCGTCGTGCGAGCAGCATTTGACGACGTTGTGCCACATCGTCGGCAGCATAGTGCTGACCGTCGATTAGCTTAGTGGCGAATATATCAAGTGCCTTGATTTTCTCTTCCTGCGCAGCGAGACTCTTCTCAAAGTCCTCGTGCTTTTTTATCAAAGCCTCAACAGAGTCTAAGGAATCGCCAAGATCTTCATTGGCAAGAAAAGCCTCTTGCTTAGCCATCCATGTGTCTGCTTGTTCGGTATCGCGATAAAATAGCTGCAAATCCATACACTGCTCATACAGGATGCGACGATCTTCCCATAAAGACAACAATGAACTTTTGTCATTTTCTAATGCAGCCAATTTTTCTTGAATCTCAGCTGCAGCGTAATGTTCACGCTCTAATAGTTTGCGGCCCGACTCGGTAGTCAATTTAAAGCTGTCCTCGCGAGCATCGATCTCACCCTTATGCTCCTGGTGACGTTCCAAAAGTGCCTCGGCTCCAGCTACATCCTTGGCCAACTCATCGGCGGAAATTATGGCCTTCATGCCATTTATCCATGACACTAAGTCGCGGAAGTCAGCCAGAAAACGGTGCAAAAAGTACGACTCATCCAGCTTCTGCTTACGCTCGCGAGCCTTCGCCGTTAAGCTTTGCCAGTAGTTGGCAATTTCTGCCTGCTTGTCGCGTATTTGGTCGCTATGGTCGGCATGAATTGAACAAAGACGTAATGCCTCCGCGCCCAAGGTGGATACTTTATCCTCGAGGGCAGCTAGATCGCGTTCCACGCCCTCGTGTTTGCGCTGCAAAGCTTGTACACTGGCCAAGTCACGGCCGTAATCGTCCGATGATAGTACAACATCTTTTTCGGCGATCCAAGCAACGGTCTCATCGGCGTCGCGATTGAATCTTTGAATTTCATGCGCACCAAATAATTTTTCTTGGCGCACAATTGCCAACTGCTTGAGGCGCTGCCAAGCCTCGTTCAATTCCTCCTTGCGTTTGGTTATTGTTTCGCGTTCTGGGTGGCCGTCTTGAACCAGCTTGTCGGCCAACTGGTTCACTTCGATGACACGATACTCCTGCGAAGCCATATCCTTTTGGAATTCGTCAAACTTACGCTGTAAAACCTCCACATGCTCCAAATCTTGGCCGAATTCATCGGCTGTAACGAAAGCCTCCTTGTCCTTGATCCAAAACATGACTTCTTCACATTGTCGCAAAAACTGCACCAAAACCAATGCTTGCTGCAATTTTTGGCCCTTCTCCGCTAGACGACTCAACAGCAACTCCCACAAACGGTGTAATTCATCCAATCGACGTAAAATCGTTTCGGAAGCAAAATGCTGTTGATTGATCATCTCTTGACCTGTGTTGTCAAGTGAGACAATAGCATTGCTATGAGCTGAGACCTCCGCTTCGAAGGCTTGATGCTTTTGAATTTTCGCTTGCAAGTTTGTGGGATCGCGATAGCTCTCCTCGCTTGCGGCCTGTAACTTTTCATGAATCCAAGATTCTAGCTCGTCCGCATCTCGCTTGAAGTATTGAAAGCGTCGTGAATCTTCTAGTTTCTCGCGCTTCTGGCGGGTCTCCATCTTAAATTCATTATACCGCGTAAGCACCTGTTCTCGACGCTCTTGAATGTCCTCGACTGTTTCCAGAATTTTCACCTCCTTGGGCGTGAAATTCTCCATTTTTTCGTATGCTCGTTTCGGTCGTTGCTATGTAATACGTTTAAATAAAAATTTTTCGATTTTGTAAGATTTCTACAAAAAAAAAGATAATAATTCCGTTGTAAGAATGCAAAATTCAAAGAAATATACAAGGCGAAATATACATACACTGACAAAAGGTCGCCGTCATTTGGCCTATAGAGCGTTTGGAGAGCGGCTACGGCCAGAAAATAATTTAAGTTGTACAATTTTTTTTTATGTAAAATAACGGTTAAAGTGATTTTTGACCATTTCACAGCGTATAAGAAGAGCTAATTCGCTCAGTTTAAAAACATGTGTAGTTACAAACCGCCTAAAAAAATGTTTACCGATATTTATCGTTGCAAAAGTTTACGATTTTAAGACATTAGATATGACGCTTAAGACGTCTTTTGAATACCCTATATACAATAGGATGCCCATCGAAAATATTTTTTTTGGAAATTTAAGGACCCTATCCTCTAATTTCATTTGTTTTTATGATAAATATTATTTCCTATTTTTATAGATTTTTTAAAGGTCATTTAGAGGTCGCGACCTGTCGGTTTAGGTCAGAAAATAGGATTTTGTAGATTTATGAGTTTTTGAATGGCTATTTTTGATTCGAATTCAAAGGTCGAATATGATCTGAGAAGAGGATATACATATAGGTCTTTAAAATGGTATATAATAATCTATTGTCGGACTTGGCTTGTTGGGATTTTGTATCGGGTAAAAAAAACCCATATTTTTCTTAATTTTTTAAATTTTGACCATCGATAATTTCAACAATTTCAAAATATGTAGAACTAACTAAAGTTAAATCTATTTTTAAATAACCTGATAGCTCAGTTATTGCAATCGCATAAAAATTGTCGAAATTAGGCGACTTTTCTTAAATATGGCCTTGAATTTATATATTGTCTATGTACCGGACTTTCAGACTATTTGCGAAGAGTGACTAAGGAATTCATCAATATTTATTCAAAATTGATATACATATACAATCGCTCTTTAGCAAAGAAATGGGTTTTCAAGAAATTTTAGGAAAATGGGGGTGGCACCGCTCGCTTTACATTCGTCCGCTGCAATTCTGGATAGAGCCTTACTATATTTTTATCATGGTCTTAGCAAACTTTTTCAAATGAACACCATTATTAAATCCTAAAGTTGTCATATTACGCGAACTTATTCACAAAAGAGTCTGGAGTTTCTAAATCACTATTATTTACATATTTACATATTGGTTTTTGTAGACAAAGTTAAACCAATAAAGTTGTAATATATAAATGTAATATTGTATTTAAACCATTTTCTGGACGAGGCCACTCCTCAAACATTCTCAAGGCCAAATTACAAATGACCAACTCTTCTCAATTTGTATACACACATAGTCTACTTGGATTCCACATATGTATGTAGATTGATGACCTCACCAGATCGTTTATACATACATACATACATATGAAAGTATTTACCTTTTTGTTGCGGTTTGCTATTATTATTTAATTGAATTAATACTGCTCAGTGTGTTAGTGATTAAGCTGATAGCCACCACCTGGCTTGTCAAAAGTTTTTCCGTCTTTTCCGTCTGCGCCTGCAACAAATGGAATAAAATAAAGAATTAAAGTTTTCTTCTTCCCGAATACAAAGTCGTTGTTACATAATAGCCCTACAATTTCATACATTCACAAACGGGTAACTAAATTTTGCAATAACAACAAACAAACAACAAGAATGAGTCAGACCTTAAAAAAAATCACTCGGTTCTGAAATGTTGTTCACTTCGCTCGCTACACACAACTGGCACACTAGCATTTCGTGACTGCGTTCAACTCGCACACGCATGTATTAACAGTGAGTAGTTGATATCGAATTGCCCCACTTAACCCGTTAATGGTTTAAGCGACCGCAGCACATACACTTGTGATCAGCTAATTAAGCCAGCAATATTTTGATCGATTTTTGGCTATTTTTCTTTTGTTTATTTAATGTTTATTATTTTTCCATAAAAGTCTAGCTCATTATATAACAAACACCACATAAATCCAGATTTCAAACTTTGTGCTAGATTTTCAACTTTTTTTCCATAAAAAAAAAATTGTCGAATTTATTTTGTATGGAAAAAAATTTGTAATGCAGTCAGAAAAAAATTATTGAAAATCAACGCGATTCTTTAGCAACTTAAGACTTGTACATTATTACACTACAATTTAATGGGTATTAAACTGCATACTCAAAAAAATTCTAAAAAATCTGAATAAAAAGTTGATAATTTGCAGATTTTTCATAATTTTTGCACAAAGTTTGAAATCTGGATTTATATCACGGTGGAGAGAATACAGAAGGTGGCGCCGATGGCAATACCGCTAATCGGCTCTCAATGAATTTGACAGAATCAGCTGTTTTGCTGCCGTCACAGTCGAGATGACAGCAGTAGTGATGTGCTGAGTCAATACTTTTAAGTATCCAATACTCTCGATACTCGGTACCGAAACATTTAGGTTTCGAATAAAAGCGCAAATAGGCTAAAAATATGGAAAAAACGGTTCATAATATAGATAAACTCTTACTTGTTTGAAGCATTTTTGTTACAGCTGAATCGGACGATATCATTTTTGTATGCAGATTCTGTAACCAGTTAGCGACAATTTTCGAATCGGTATCGGTTTTGTTGAGGTATGATATGAAATATTTTTACGTCAACAAAAGCGATATCGATCCGAAACTTGTCGCTAACTGGTTACAGAATCTCCCCTCCCTGAAAGGCTTCTTCATCCGTCAAAAGATTTTTCTTGAACCTTGGATCGACTAGGGTTAAAACTGATAAAATAATATTTCTCTGTTGCGATAAGTTCAAGTATTTTAGCTGATATCATATAAATTAGTAATGAAAGTTTTTTCTAAACTTGAAATGCATATAATGGCGAAGGTTTAATGTAAAATATCAGTATCGGGTACCGATAAGGAAGTATTAGGTACCGAAACCTTTTTTAAGCATTGGGTACCGACAATTCAGCACATCACTAGACAGCAGTTTTATTTGCCACTCTCAGTTGTCAACTCTACGGTGACGTCATGCCAAAATTACTCTCACGAATTCTGCTGCAATCGGCGCAATCTTGTATTCTATCATTCTTGCATACATAGTACATGTACATATATCTCCTGCAGTAAAATTTAGAGACAGTCTGACAAAGCGCTAGTTCCGAGCTACATATATCAGAACAATCTCTGAACTAGTGCAAAATGGATGCAGAGCGGGACAGTTGAAACTTGCGGTGTAAATGTGCGAATGGTCACTACTCGTACAATACGAAAGTAGTTCAGCGAGACGACCTCCAACTCAAGCATCGTTGGTCCCGAATTCAAATCGCGGTGGAGGCAGTTGTGAGTTTTCAAATTTAATGAATTTAAATTGCTGCGTGCAGCTTGCAACAACTTTGTTTTGATAAAATAGAAAAAAATAAAATAGATAAAAAGAAAAAAACGAAAGAAATATCGAGTCTTAAAAACGTTTTGTTTTAAAAAAGAAAAACTTTCTGGAGCTAAAAAGTGCTAGATAATTTTGAAAAGACTAAAAGCGCCAAACTTATGCCACCCGGTGTTAATCTTCTCACGTTTTAGCATTTCTCATGTTCGATTTCGATAATTGAGCCAAAGGCGCATACTGAGCTGTTATTTCTCTTTTGTTTTAAAACTTTCATAAATTTTAAAATAGCCTTTATAAAGAATTCGTTTTGGGATTTTATTTTAGCAACTATTTCAACATCAATGTATTTTTCACTCATATTGGTGACTCTTAATTTAATTTAATTTTTGGGTTGATAACTTTAGATTCCTTGATTTCATAAACTTGAGAATCGAATCTATTTTGTAGCGTAGTTTTAATTTGTCCCTTCTCTGAACTGTCGTTTGCCCTAATAACAACTGGTCCATTGTATTACCTATCTCCTCTCCGTGCTTAGACAAACCTTCAGCTAATTTCTCAAAGTAGATACCTACTCACAAGTGTTGTACCCTCTTTATTAAATCATCCTTCGCCGTTTCATTTATTTCGTGCAAAAGAAAGTTAAAATAGAAAAATTATAATTTATAGTTCAACTCTTTTGAAATTAATCTTTTTCACTTATTTATTTTCTGGTATGGAGTCACTGTCTCGTAAAACCATCAGCCGAATTTAAACATGTATGAGAGTTTAAAATATCTCAAATTATTGCAGATCAATACAATACACGTCCGTTCACGTTGAAATCTCCTCTCTTCGGATTAGGAATCGAACCAGGATCTTGCCGAGTGCCGGTATGCACCTCTAACCACTTGACAACGACAGACGCGGATGTCATGAATTATTTACATTGTATTAAGAAATTATACGCGATCATTTGTTTAATTTTCCATTTTTCAACCTTATGAGCCTTAAATGTAAATACAAAATCTGGTACATATACAATCAGGCAGGTTCTGCACTTCACTTCACTTCCGAGTGAATTTCAATAAAATCCGCTTTGAATTCAAATTGGCAGTGGTTGAAATTCACTGGGAAGCGAATTGCAGAACCTGCCTGAATATTTATACCCGAGCGCACTTGTGCACAAGGGTATATTAATTTTGTTCACATAACGGTTGTTTGTAACAGCCGAAACGAATCGAGATAGATATAGACAAATGTATACATAAATGCTCAGAATGAATAGAAAAATCGATTAAGCCATGTCTGTCTGTCCGTCCGTCTGTCCGTAAGTCCGTGTACACGATAACTCGAGCAAAAATTGAGATATCTCAACAAAATTTTGTATGTAGGTTTCCGTTAATCCAAGGTAGGTTGGTATTGAAAATGGGCGAATCGGACTGTAACCACGCTCACTTCCCATATAACGGTAATTTCCAGAAATACGAAAACTGCGATATTTTAGTAACTACTGAAGATAATTCACTCAAAATTGATATTTACAATAATTTTTAGACGAAAAATAAGAATATTATAAATTTTTGGAAAATGGGCGTAGCCACGCCCACTTATGGTTACATGTGTATATCTTGGCAACCGCTGCACCGATTTCATCCAAACTTCGCACAGTTGTTGGCCTTGGTACAGCCGAAAATTTTTAAAATCGGACAATAACCACGCCCACAGTCCACAGGGTAATTTAGAGAAATACGAAATCTTCGATAAATCAGTAAATATTAAAGCTAATTTATTCAAAATTGATGCTTGCAACAATTCTTTACCAGAAATACGTTTATGGTAAAATTTTGGAAAATGGGCGTGGCACCGCCCACTTATGATCACATATATGTATATCGGTAACCGTTCTACCAATTTGTATCAAACTCGGTATTTTTATTGTGCTTGCCACATAAAAGCAAAACGTTGAAAATTATTGAAATCGGACTAAAATTACGGCCGCTTTTCATATAACAGTAAATTTCAGAAATGCTTGAAACTGTAATATTTCGAAATTTAAGGACGCTAATTTACTCAAAATTGATACACCCCGGCTTACCATCTAGCGGCAGGTTTCGGAAAGGTGAAAAAACATATATTTAATACTTGCGCCGGGTATTTAATGTTCGGCTCCGCCCGAACTTAGACTTTCTTACTTGTTTTATATTAAACACGAAACCTTCTAGCTTATAAAAGCGGCATTATTATCCATTTATTATGTCATCAATTAAAATCAAACAACTTTATCTAATAAAACTTAACTAGGCAAGCAACTTTAATAAAAACTGAAATTGTCAACATCTCTTGAAAGGTCGGCCAATACTTCCATGAATAAGTGAGATTTGGCTTCGTCATCACTACTGTCGTCGTTGTTAGTCGCAGCTGCACTCTTCGTTCTCCGAACTTGGCCGGTCTCGTCGGCAACACATTGTAGTGTTTTTGAGATTTCGTTTAGCACAGCAGCGGGCCAATTCTCCTTGAAAATCGGCACAAATAACACATTTACATTGTCTATAGTAAGTACGCTCTTCTTAATCATATAAACCAGCAAATCTTTTAGTTTTCCAAAAGGCACACCATTTTCCCCCAAAGCTTCGATGAATGCCACTGTGATCAGTCCATCATAAATGCTAGGCGTTCTCTGGACAGCTAAACTGGAACTATTGCTATTGCTGTCGTCATCACTGCCTTTGTTGTCGATTTGCGCAGTAATTTGATTAAGGTTTCTTTTGCTTCGTTCAACAGTGCTTACGACAAATTGAAAATTCGGATGCGACCAAACTGTGCAAACAGAACTCATCAATTCCGCTGTAAGCCACTCCGGCTTGTAAATGATTAAGTGCTGAGTAATTTGCACTAGACCCGCGCCAATAAGACGATAAAAAATTATAGGCAATGTATTCGCAAATGCCTCGGGTATACGCCGCAGGAAAGAAGTTATGGCATCAGGTTCTGCCGTCACCAAAAGGTCGGTGCGAATTGAAGTGCAATGTAGCCAGTACTGCAGTTCGTCAAGTAAATCGGACACGCTGGGTTCAAGCTGAACAATTTTCAATTCCGATAACGATGACACCTGTTGCTCCTTTTTGTTTGCTTTGCTGATTTTTTGAGCGATTTCGTTGAGATCGCCGCAGTAGAGGTTACTTCGTTGTAGATTGTCTTGAAACCAGTGTTGAATTCGTTTCATCGCCTTCTGCCGAATTAGCTGAGAATATGTTTTTTCTACCACAAATGTTGTCTGCTCGGGGAGTAGCGCGTGAAGAGCGGTCGCAATTCGTTCATCTACCACTTTTGGCAAGTTGGTTTCCCACTTTTGACGTGCATCTTCGTGAGCACTTTCATAGATGGCCGTTACCTTAGTGAATACCTCATCGATATCCGTCGATGTGATCTCATTTACACGTTTATCTGCATCAGCTTTCGAGGGTAATATAAATTTGTGCTGGCCGTCCTTTACAACGGACTTGTAGATTCTTTCGGTGACAAATTCTATAAGTCGGCGCATAGAAGCATTCTGGGAATGTAGAAATGCCTCAATAAGTTTATTTTGCTGAGATTGCTGTGAGTTTAAGGCATTCGATGTCGCTTTGCACTGAGCGTGCGAAGGGGAATTGGTTGCTGGAAGTTGAGGTTCTGCAATACGCGTGGTTATGTGGCGATATCTTCCTGTGCGCGATACATATTTTGTGGTTGCATATTTGCTTGGCATAATAGCTACACGAAATTCTGCCAGAAATGGGCACGCAACGGGAAGTAAAGACTCCAGAACGGGATTAAGTGGCATGCTCGTATTATAGCTTACTTGAATAGACAATGAAACATTAGTTTCACTAGCTTGCCGGAAATCTTTTTCTGGTATTCGAAATATTCCTGCAGACAGCTCACGGTACTGCAAATATTTCTCGTTGCTGTTGTCCTCAGTGCGTCTTTGCGAAGCTCTATATCTAAAGTAGTTTTCAGCTATCATAGGCTTCGTGTCAAAGAGCCATCCCAAGCAGCAACGTAGGATGAATATGGATGTAGACGACAGCAAATACGTACCGGCTGATTCGAACCCAATTTGGGTGTATACAGCATAGAGCATATGTGTGGCTTTCACGATATCTTCCAACTGGAGTGTAACATTGTCCAACATTACGAGGTATTGTATCAACCAAGGCAATGTGATGAGTATTTTTTTACCTTTGATCGCCTCTAGCAGGTGTTGCGACACACTGAAGTGCGGCTGAAACAGGCTGCGCAGCGTTAATTGCTTCTTTTCGATGTTGCCGGACATGTTGGCTACGTGCAAGCTTTGGCTATAAGGATATGCAGTTACAAAGCCCAGAAACTTGGCTAAAATTATCATCGATGCCAGAACTTCGGGACGAACTATGAATTCATTGATTTCGCCTTTGTCATCCTGTGGTTCCAGCTCGTCCGCCTCTTTGTTGTCATTCAAAACGTTCAGTTGCTCGAATGTGGAATTGTTTAAGTTGAGTAGTTGGGAGTAGAGAGCCATTCTCAATTGTTCACCAAACGGCAAAGATTTGGCTTCAATTATGAAATCACGAAAAAATGCCTGATTTCGTGGAAACTGATAATCGACGCTAAAATTACTTGGCGCCACGAGACGTTGCGTTAATTTACTGAACTTTTCGGCGTCAACATCTACGCCAATGTCCTCCGGGGAGGCGGCATCACTGGCTGATATCAAAAGCTGTGAAACAAACAATTTGCTAAAGTGGGCCATGTTGATTGGATTCTCCGACTGCTTAAATATTTCACGAATCCTCGGTGCCAACTCTTGCGAGAAGTTCCAATTGGGGTTCAGATGGTGGGTTTCCCACAGCTTTAGTACTTTATAAAAAAGATCACGTTGGGTCTTAAAGGCACCAAACTCACTGTTGGATACGAAATGCTGCCTCGAGTCTTTGTCCTCTTGATAGTAGACGCTCTTAAAAGAGCGGTCGATTGGAGCGGATATATCCAGCGTGTGAGACTTCCCGAGCAGTAATGATTGCTTTTGCTCATAAATGGATACCAGATATGATTTTAATTCCATGTCGAGGCTATAAACACGCTCATTGTGCATGACAACTCCCAAACTCTTGGCATCGAGATGGGCAAATAAGTGTCGTTGACGCTTCAAAACACATAATGCAAAATAAATGCAGCTTGTAACGCTGTTCAGCATGCTCATGCCCATTGACAATTCTCCATCCCCCTCCACCAACAACTCATTCACTGATTTGACAGAGCCAATCTGGTGGACACCTACCGCCCTTGGTTCCTGTGCATTCAGCAAATTCAGCACAAATGCCATTTCGCTGAGGATGTTCGTGACGAAATTCAAATCCATTAAAACCACATAGATGTCTGCCAAAATTTGTATGTGGGGGCGATTTTTTATTTTGTCCAACTCTACAGGAGGTAATTGTTTGCTAAGTTGAGCTTCCACAGTCTCACTTTCCACTTTGGATGCAGCAACATCTCGTAGTTTTCGCTCAATCATTCCCCGCAGATTTTTTTCGTCATCGCCAACACAATTCATTTCCAACTCTTTGCTGATTTCGTTCGCATTAAATTTCAGCGACTTTCTGGCAGCCATAATACTACATTCATTTTTATCTTCTATTTCCGCATTTGTCAGTTTTAATATATTATTTTCGTTGCTGAAGGAACTGCTACAGCCAAACGGCTTTAAGTCGCCGACTTCACTTGCGACGGCTCGATGACTAATAGTTGTTGGCACCACTCGCTTTTTAGGTTTACTATTCGATGTAGAATCCCCGGTTGATGCTATGGCAGTGTTTTGAACCTGTGTGTGAGATGACTTCTTCCGATTCGAGCGACTGTTGCTTTGATGCAGGACGATAAAGTCTCCCAGACAAAAGTTTGAAGAGGAGCTGTTGTTGCGTACTGGTACTGATTTGTCAGCACTATGCGGAGTCAGTGCCTGCAATGATGAACTGTTTCCCGATCGACGGCTGCTGTTTTGTATGCGGCGTATGGGTGTGTATGAGTCGCTCTTGAAACTATATCCCCGACTTCGATCCAACGATTGTGTAGGCGTAGATACAGCAAATGAGGAATTTTTTCTTGAACCTCGAGCATTTCCTGGAAAATCCTCCCCTAAACTGCTTTCAAAGTATGCTGAAGCGTTGCGCCTTTGCTCAGGGGTAGAGGCGAAATTTGGTGTGGGCGGCGCGGAATCCTGCGCGCGCCTAGGTGTATTGCACCTATTTTTTTTTTCATTTCCGCCGCCGGTATCACAACCAGCAGCAACGGATTGAACCGCTTGTATAGATGTCTGAAAGGTTTGGTCATTTTCATTAGATCGCAAATAATGTTCAGTTTGTTGACGCATTGCATTCAGAAAGTATATCGCGAAATTGTCCAAGTCGCTAGAGCCATCCCTCTTCGATTCACTGAAGTGCTTAAGGTACCAATGACGGAAATGGCTCATGGGAACTGTGGTATCACCAAAGGAATGAGCTATCATTTCCGCACCTGCAAGTAGCAGGGTTTTTAGTGTTTCTTCCGGGGAACTCATTATAAGTTTGTTGCTCTAGCATCTATCGTTTTTTGAGATTTTGTTGATTTCAAAAACAGTTCATTTTGCACCGCTTTTATCTATTGCGTTAAATATTTCCTAATATTTTATTGACCATCTGAAATGGAAGATGCCAAAGAAAAAAAGAGGACGATATTTCAGGATGGAAGTGGTATTATGCAGCTTGTCGTCAGAGTTATTGGAAAATTTAAAAAAGCTAGTACACGTTTATATCTATTAAACGCTTGTGCAATGTTTTTACTGGTTAATAAATAATGAGAAATAAACTACAACAAATCTACTTCTAAGTACTTCAGCTTTAACTTTAATATATTCATCAAGACAAATAAGCATCGACCTTTGAAATGTGCAACTCACCATTTTACTTTGAGGTTGTTGCTTCACTCACCCTTAAAATAATATTTTCATTATTTCAAGTTCAAAGGATGGACAAATTCATTTAAGTCAATGCGGTATGAAAGCACAAGCCCCCCCATTGACAGAAGTGCATCGATAAGAAATTCTCTGTGAAGTTTACGATTGGATCGCGTTTAAGGAGAGTACTTTTTTCATACTTTGTATGTATGTATGTATGTATATAATGTCAGCGATGGTGTAGAAGGAATACCAAAATTTCAGAGCCCGTTTGAACTGTTTAGAAAATAAACCGAAACTAGTAATTTATTTCCGAAAGAGCTATCAAGAGAGCTACGAATTTCGTGTAATCTATGTGGCAAAATAAAAAAATTAACTATTTATTTCCTCCTCTTCCCTTTTTTTTTACTTATCTGACAGGTTTTACAATACTGTGGTCAGCGTAGCTGGAACTGGACATACGGCGGCTATTTTTTGATGAAAAAATTACATCGACGTCGACGTTAATAACCATAATAGGGCCGAATAGATTATTTAATGCATTTTTTGTATTTGTGACCACGTAAATCATAATTTAAAAAATTTAGTATTTTGTGCTGACTACACACGGGGCAACCGTTACAGGAACACCATTTCTATGAGAAACTAGTCTGAACAAAGTCTCTCAAATATGTACCTTCGTCTGAATTTACTAGAAAAATAATTGTCCAGCAATTAATTATAAATGAAAATTTTTTAAATATTGAATTATGCTGTTATTTATTTATCTGTATTCTGATATTTATAATAGGGCCTATTCTTTTTTTCGTACGAATCGAAAATCATGAAATTTTCTATACAAAAATTTCAAATACGGTCTGCCATTAAATTTTGGGCACAGCGAGTTTTTTGCAATACGGGCAAATATTTTTTAAATATTTAATTTTTCGCTCATTTTTTATAAAAATATGGTTAATTCTACAATAAAAACTCCAAAAATCATAATTCCAAACCTTGTGCAAAATTCTGCAAATTTCCATTCAAATATTGTAATTTTTATTTGCACTCTTTAGAAGAAGTTGAGTAAGCGGTTTTTTAGCCCGTTCAATTTTAGTATAACAAAGTGCAAGTCTGAGGTAGCTAGGATACATAAAATAAAAATGTTTCTATATGGAAAAAATGAGCGACGCCTCCAACAAAAAAAATTTGCCAAAAATCAATGGTAAGTCCTAGCTTCCTCAGACTTGCACTTTATTGTACTAAAATTGAATGGGCTAAAAATAAAAAACTGCATACTCAAATTTTTTCTAAGCAGTGTAAATAAAATGTGCAATATTTGAGTACGAAATTTGCAGAATTTTCTCTAATTTTATACAAGGTCTGGAACTCTGCATTTTGGAGCTTTTATTGTAAGGTTAAACATATTTTTATGAAAAAATTAGCGAAAATTAAAATATTTTAAAAATAGTTGACCGTTATTGATTGACTGTATGTATGTAAGTGAAGTTAAAAGACCTTCCAGATTTCAAAGGTCAATTAGAAATAATTGGGTCGGAAGACTGTTCTTGACGTAAGCTACAATTGGCATATGTCTGGCGAAAAGTACATTTTCGATTTTTAGTTTAAAATAACTTAATTTAAAGAATAAAAGTACACTGAAAAACAAATTTTCGATTTCTCGTTTAAAATAACTTACTTTAAAGAATAAAAGTACACTGAAAAACTAATTTTTTTATACACGTATGAAATAGAGTTGGCAAAATTTATTCGATTGATGAATAACAAATAAATAATTTTTTATTTTCGTTATTCGTAAAAAATAAATAATTTAACTTTATTCAAAGAAAAATTATTCCAATGACGGATAAACTATTTTATTCGTTAAGCGAATAATTAATGAAAATAAAACAAGTAGTATTCTTGATAAAACAGCAAACAGAATTAAACTAACTGACAATCAGTTGCAATAGAAATAAAAGTAAATCGTTGCTCAGTCTGTTATAAATCGAGTTTTCAAAAATTTGCGAATAATTCTATTACGGATAAAATTTTCTTCGAATAATTATCTAAATATCAATTTATTTGAATAAAGCCTAACTCTGGATATCCGGTTAATATATGTTCGTTTGGTTATCCGGATATCTAAACCGAATCTACCGAGATGTAAAATAAATAACACTGGATCACAAATTTGTATCTTTGTTTTTTTTTTGTTCACCGGATGCCACTACCCAATTTCTGTGTAGAATTGCTCGCTGATTCCGAAAATCAAGCAAATCTTTTTTTCTATGGATAACTTTTCGAGATATTTGCAATTTACCATTATTCAGCTTAAAAAAAAGAGTGGTTCCACTTACGGCAAATGAAAGCAAATAATATTCTCCATAAACCGCATATATATCGTATTACGATTGCTCAATTGGTTCGTAAGATATACGTCATTAAGTGGAACCACTCTTTTTTACCTCGTCGCTTTTATTAGCTTGGGATGTAACTACATATCGTCGCCTGGGTAAAAGATTGTCGTATGTTACTTTCGGCAGGTTTTGGGAAATCGATGTTAAAGATTCAGTCTCAATTTATCAAAAGCTGTACAATCGTTTTTTATCAAAATTTAATGCTATTTAAAGTATAAAACCACATTTTCAGTAACTCATACCACTTTTTTTCATAGCCACTTTTTTATAAAATCATTTTGTCGTATGTTACATTTTCACCTTGAATGCTGGCCAGCATTACTACAAATCACGCACACAGCAAGTAAGCAAAAGGCTGAAATTCTTGAAGTTATTTTTTGCTCGTACGCAAAAAATTGATTCTAATACACCCGAGATTGGTGTGATTTTGTCGTATGTACCACATACAATTTGTCACATAAGGCAATATTTGAACAAATAATCAATTTCATCAAACTGTAAGAAAATTTTGTCGTATGCGAAATTGTTCCGTCACATACAACAAAATGTTGACCGAGTCGTATCTCGGAAACTAAATTTGATATCCAAAAACTGATAACATCAATCGGAAGATCTTATTTAATAAAATAAAACTGCATCTTTAACTAAAA